ATTTGTTTTTCCTAAAGCCACACTAATAAGATAGGTCTCCTAAGCTGAAATATACATTGTAGCATATTTTAAGAATCAGAAACAGAATACCAACATGTAAAGGTTTCTCAAGGTTGTAATGGTTTATTAAAGGTTGTAATGGTTTATTAAAGGTTTTACTGGTTTATTAATGGTTTAAGGGTTCATAAGCAGTTTTATACAACATGTAAATGTGTCTCAAGATTGTAATGGTTTATTAAAGGTTTGAATGGTTTATACAAGATTTCAAAATACCTTTGTTCGTCCCACAGAGGGGAAATTAAAAAATGTTTACAGTAGTAAAGCACCAAAGATAGCTTAGTATTAATTAAGAAACATGCATAGAAATATTAAAGATAAGAAGAAATTACACTAAGTCATTAATTTGTGTTAATTTAATTAAAGAAACATATATAAAGGCACATATTTCAGTCTAGATATGTGCCACTTTATGAGGAAAGGGCCCTTAGATTAGATATGTTAAGATGTCTAGGCCTTAAACTGGTTTTAGATGGTCAGGTTAAATAAGGTCTGACTAAGCCTGTCTATAAATATTAAATAATAAAACTGATATTGAAACAGATAGCCTTCTCCCCTTACAGTACGTAAGGGAAGGACGTTAGACATTTCTACCATTATTTTAAAGAAAATATATATATATATATGTGTTAGTCTGGCATTGCGACTTGTTGTTGCACAAAACATTTTTGTGCAGGTGAAATAAAGAAGAGATTAATCTTTTTCCTACAGCCACTTATACCGACATTCAATATTGTATCATACTGTATCGTAGGACATGTATTTTAAAATACATCAACAAACGTGCAGTCAATCCCAGGTCAAATATACACTGAACAAAAATATAAATGCAACACTTTTGTTTTTGCTCCCATTTTTCATGAGATGAACTCAAAAACATTTTCTATATACACAAAATAACCATTTCTCTCAAATATTGTTCACAAATCTGAAAAAATCTGTGATAGTGAGCACTTCTCCTTTGCCGAGATAATCCATCCCACCTCACAGGTGTGGCATATCAAGATGCTGATTAGACAGCATGATTATTGCACAGGTGTGCCTTAGGCTGGCCACAATAAAAGGCCACTCTGAAACGTGCAGTTCTGCCACCACCATGGGCCACTCGATTCACAACATTGACATCAGAAAACCGCTCACCCACACGAGGCCACACACGCTGTCTGCCATCTGCCCTGAACAGTGAAAACCGGGATTCATCCGTGAAGAGAACACCTCTCCAACGTGCCAGACGCCATCGAATGTGAGCATTTGCCCACTCAAGTCGGTTACGACGACGAACCGGAGTCAGGTCGAGACCCCGATGAGGACGACGAGCATGCAGATGAGCTTCCCTGAGACGGTTTCTGACAGTTTGTGCAGAAATTATTTGGTTATGCAAACCGATTGTTGCAGCAGCTGTGTGAGTGGCTGGTCTCAGACGATCTTGGAGGTGAACATGCTGGATGTGGAGGTCCTGGGCTGGTGTGGCTACCACGTGGTCTGCGGCTGTGAGGCCGGTTGGATGTACTGCCAAATTCTCTGAAACGCCTTTGGAGACGGCTTATGGTAGAGAAATGAACATTCAATTCACGGGCAACAGCTCTGGTGGACATTCCTGCTGTCAGCATGCCAATTGCACGCTCCCTCAAAACTTGCGACATCTGTGGCATTGTGCTGTGTGATAAAACTGAACATTTCAGAGTGGCCTTTTATTGTGGCCAGCCTAAGGCACACCTGTGCAATAATCATGCTGTCTAATCAGCATCTTGATATGCCACACCTGTGAGGTGGGATGGATTATCTCGGCAAAGGAGAAGTGCTCACTATCACAGATTTTTTCAGATTTGTGAACAATATTTGAGAGAAATGGTTATTTTGTGTATATAGAAAATGTTTTAGATCTTTGAGTTCATCTCATGAAAAATGGGAGCAAAAACAAAAGTGTTGCATTTATATTTGTGTTCAGTGTACAAAAAAGAGTATACTGTTTCAAGAAAGAATCTGTCAGTAAAGTATTATTATCATGAAAGATGGTAACAAAAAATGTAGTTGAGGTACCTGCAAATTATTAGACGTTAGGTAACACCTGAATACCGAATCGAATATTAAAAGATACCAATTGCCATGCTGTCATTGTGTTGCCTTAATAATTGCTTGGTGGCTAACATGTTGGATCTGCAGCGCTGCCATTATTATTTTTGGAGCACATCAGCTCTGCAGAGCCTCAGAGCCTGAGAGAAACCCTGACGCAGAGGCCTAAACTGACTTAACATATTTTCAAATGAAAGTCTGCGTTGGCTTGGGTTTATTTACTTCATCCCTGTTTATAGTGTTGTCAGATTATCTATCAGTGATATGTTTTTAGAGAGAAAGAGCTGTAAGGTCATTTTTTAAATGGTAGCATTTTGCGGTGTTTAGTTTCACTGCTGGAGGATTTTGGAGGTCAGCTGCTGTGGTTAGTCTCTCGACAGGCACGCTGTTAATGAGGGTGTGTGTGTGACTGTCTTTGTTTATCTCTGTACCACAGCACAGCCTGTTGTTGGGGTTTTCTCAGCCTATTTACAGCACAACAAGGACATGTTATCATTCGTTTTTCCAGCTACAGAGCACACACACACAAGAACAAAGAGACTGAAGGCCCATTGAAATGGGATTAGTAGAACCGGGTAACAACGGTAATGTAACATTAGCCTTGCACCGCCTGCTTTGATTTATAGTCTTTAGGGCAGTTGTAAGGGATTGAACATTAAAAAGATGTGTTATCGTAATTCCTTGTCCTCTTCCTGCTCACTCAGTTGACCACTGGCATCTCCAGTGCTCTTATAAGGTTTGTCTTTAGCATTCAATAATTTTTACTCATAAAAATGCACATGTAGCACACATTCAAAAAAGAGGCTTTGAGTGTTCCTGCAGTGATTTTTAATCTTCTCTTTGACCTCCAGGAGGTAGCTTTTTGAAAAAGACAAAATCAATAGGAAACTGAATCATCAATTCATATAATTTAAGTCGAAAAGACAACCAAGTCTATTGAATTCAGTTGAAATGGCCCTATTATCTCTCGTACACTGGGAGTTAACTTGTTAAATTAGGAAAAGCACATGGGGTAAATAAAACAAATTAGCCATGGCTCATTAAGTGTCCCAGTGAGCCATGTCAGGGAGTTAGCATACACACTGCCAGAGCCCTGGATGCAGTCAGCATTAATGTTATTGATCCAGCTCTGCTTTACCTGCTTTGACAAGTTGCCGCTGTTAAATGGGTTGATGGTCCAGGTATATGGAGAACTACTTCCTTATCCAACTGCATGCTAAGGGGTTTGCCAAAGTAGAGATCAATATACCTCTTCTGTCTCTGATGTTTTGTTTGATTGGAACACTGTTGTGTCTCGTCAAATGTGTTGGTTATGTTTATGTATTATGTCACGTCTGGTCGTGTCTGTTTATTTAGGTTCTTCATCTCTAGTCAGTCTCTGTGTTTATTGTCATGTCTCGTTTTCCATTTCCTGTTTTATTTTGTACTTACCTCTTGTCTTTCATTTCAGGCCCTGTTTCTTCCTCCCCTTGTGTGTTGTTCCCACCATCATCAGCGTCTGCCCCACCCCTGATTGTTTCCACCTGTCCCCACTCACCTCATGTTTAAATAGTCCTGTCTCTCCCCTGTCCTGTGTCAGTTCGTCTTGTTTGTTTCCCCGAATGGTCGTGCCAAGCCTCAGCTCAGAAAGGATCGCTTTCACTCATGTCAGGTTTTGTAGTTTTGTTAATTTTGTAGGCTTAAGTTTTTCTTAAGTTCTCTTTTTGTTATGCCTAGTTTTTTCCTCCTCGTGAGCGCCTTTTGTTATTTCCAGTACCTACTCTGTTAAGAGGGATTACCTGATCTGTGAAATTAAAATTAAAAAAATGTACATTCAAGACTTTATCTCTGGGTCATGCATTTGGGTTTATCAGTTTGTGTCAAGATCCTGACCAACACCATCTCTCTTGAGCTCTTAAGATTCAGTAAGTGCAGATAGAGTATGTAAGGTGAATTGAAGATATGGTTATTACATGTATTAGGCAAGACAAGGCAAGGCAGGCAAGGCAAGGCAAGGCAAGTTTATTTATATAGCACTTTTCAACACAAGGCAATTCAAAGTGCTTTACAAAAAATGAAAGAGATTAAGAAAATTGTCAGGTGGTTGGTAGGTATGACAGTTAGTCACCTGCCAGGGGATAATCAGGTGAATCCCAGTGGCAATCGGCAACATCTGGGTCTGAAGCAAGCCAACGTCGGAAGAGACTTGAACCTACATTATTTGTAATGGTCAGCAGGAGGCGATTCTCATGGTTGCAAAAAGAAGTTGGATTGTGTAGAAGTCAACAAGAAAATTACCCTACTTCCAACCTGATTTATTCACCTCAGTAAACATTTTGCTGTTTTTTTATAATCTCCATCACTTGTTTTAATTATTCTTCAGCAGAGCATGATGTTCATTTTGTAAATCATAGTCATATACTGTAAAGAGGAAAAATAGACGATAAAGCGATAATGCTTTAGGGCTTCTCTACCTTATTACTGACCAGTCACTAACACAGGGTTGTCCTGTCTGGTTGCTCTCTGTCTTTAATGCTTTCATCTTGCTCATCTTGTATTTGTACCTAACAGGAAATATTCTGTTACATTTCGGTGGCCTAAAATGGTTTTGTTCAGTTGTACTTTGTTCCTACCTCCTGTATCACTGCTGGTTCAGACAACCAATATTATTCCAAAGCGAGGTTTCAGAGCTATTGTCCACAAACCAATGTGTGATGTCAGTGTACAATTATTGTATACAGTCTATCGTCAGTAAAATCAGCACCATGTAAGAGCTTGTGTTAAAGCCTTTTACAAGAGATTATGGTTTCATCCTCAAATGGGTTGGTGCGGTATCTGTAAACTCTGTATTTGTAGTAATAACAGTATCAATAATGAATGTGTGTGTGCAGGTCTCAGTCTGGTGGTTGGCCTGGTGTTATATATCTCCAGTATTAATGACGAGGTGATGAACCGACCCAGAGAGCCGGAGCAGTTCTTCCACTACCGCTACGGCTGGTCCTTCGCCTTCGCTGCCTCCTCCTTCCTGCTGAAAGAGGTAATCAGACAACCACACACACTCAAACACACACACACACTCAGATTTTCAAGTAAACACTCAATGAGCAGTTCACGGTGACACTAATATATACTGATGCTTCACATTCACTGACGCTATGTAACTGACAAAAGAGATAATATGCACACCACAGACACACACGCAGATTGTTTGGAATTCAGCGTGGATGTGGACCAACCACTGCTTAGCAACACAGACTCAAGCATGTGCACAAACACAGACTTACAAATTGCTTGTAGCTTGCTGTGATGCAGACTATTTCAGCTAAACACACACGCACACACACACACACACAAACTCGTGTGCCTGCGTAGGAGCCCATCGCCCTGCCTGCATCAATATTCATAAATGTTAATAGCTTGAATACTTGAGGGCAGCAGCTCTGTCGAGCACAGCTCCATTTGCATCAGAATATTCCTCGCTGGGGGGGCTCTGCAACTCCTTCTTCTCCGTCCTTCATCCTCATCTCCTAGCTCCTCACTTATATCTTCCTTTTTTCCCACCATCTCTCTCTAAGTCCTCTACTTTTATCTTGTCTCTTTAATCTTCAGTTATGTAATCCTCTGTTGTCCCTTACCCTCTCTTTTCTTCTTCTCTTATCGCGTCCCCCCCTCTTTGTTTTTTGGTTTAGTTCCCCTGTTACCTTATTTCTCTCCCACTTCATTTGCAGCCTCTCTCGCCCATCTCCCCTTATCCGATTTACCGTTTTTCTCTTTTATCTGATCTCTCCTGTCACTGTTCTTTCTCCTTTCACATATGCATTCCCTTATTTTGATTATTTCCCCACTCCCCATTTTCTTTCCTACATGTCCTCCATTTGCATTTTATTTTGTCCCCTCTTCTCTTCTATGTTGTCCCTTTCCATTCTCTCCTCTTCCTTGCCCCTTTGTATTTGTCATCTATCTTTTCTCTTTCTCTTATTTTCAGTTCTTTCACTATTCCAATCATCTCCTCTCCCTGTTTTTATTCTTGTATCGCCTCCATCTCTTTATTCTCTTACTGTACCTTCGGCGTCTCATCTCATTTGCACACACATCATGCGCCTTGGTGACTGGACATCTCCTTCATAAAACTAATAAAAGGGGGAGTAATCGGGCAGTTCGATGTGTGTGTAGAGGTGTGTGTAGAGGTGTGTGTGGTTTACACGTAGCAGCCTGCAGTCACTCGCTGTTCTGATTAAGGTAAACACAGCGAAGGCGGTGCGTAAAAAGGCACAGCTCTCGGTGCGCTGGTGCTGCACTTCTCAGAGGCGGAGTTACACGTCCCGCTGCCTCCTGATGCTGCAGCCATTTCATGAAGTGAAGGAGGTGTTCCTTCTATAAAACAGCTGCGGGCAGCAGATACCGTGAGAGTCCCGGACATGAATTCATAGATCAAGGCAGACTGGTTTACTCTCCTGTTTTGCCAATCCGGTGACCATAGCTCTACACCCCTGGCCGACATGTCCTTAAAATGAAGTCTGAGTTTGAAATATATCTCAAATAATGTATGCACTGCCATTTCCCCACATAAACATAACAGTCTGCAATTAAACGGTTGTCTCCTGTGCGCTCCTCTTCCTACTTGGCGCACCGGTAACTTTCTCGTGCGCACAAGAGGCTGAGACCAGGCTGAGCCGCCGAATCCCTCGGAACATCATAAAAGCCATTTTCAACGGTTTTCTGGTGGAAGATTAACTAGGCTACTGGATGAAATAATATGAATATAAAAAAAATATTATGATAATTGTTTTTAATATATTTATAATTCTGCAAATATTATGATAAACTCACAGCTATTTTGCGGCCCGGCAGTAACACCTCCGCGTCCCGGTACCGGTCTGCGGACTGGGGGTTGGGAACCCCTGTACTACAAGACACGGAGGATATGATATTGCAATAACCCTAGTATCTTTGTGTTTCTCTATGTGTCGCAGGGGGCAGGAGTCATGTCAGTCTATCTCTTCATGAAGCGTTACGCTGAGGAGGAGCTGTACCGGCCTCACCCCGCCCTCTACCGACCCCGCATGTCTGAATGCAGCGACTACAGTGGCCAGTTCCTCCACCCAGACTCCTGGCCCCCCCCCCAGCGGGGCCGCAGCGCTTCCGAGGTCTCCTCCGACATCTCCATCCAGCTCAACCAGACTCCACCTTCAAAGTCGCAACCCAAGGGGGGCAGCAGCTCCCAGCAGACGCCCTCTTCCTCTGGGCCTTCATCAGCTGCCAGCTACCAGCACCAGCCGGCCTCCTCCTCCTCCACTTCCTCCTCCTACCCACACCCCCTCCATCTGGCCGCCACCTCCACCCTACCCAGAGCATCCCATGGCCACCCTCAGTCCCATCCCCACCCCAGTGGACCCCCACCCCAGTCCCTGCCGATGGGGGTGCCACCATCAGCCGTGCCTCCTCCGCGCTATCACGCGCACATGCGAATGAGTGCCTCGCCATGCTAGGCTACTTAAACAAAACACAACTGGGGGGGGGGGGGGTAGATTGGTTATAGCTCTTACACACCACACACACACAATTCCTGTATCTACAAAATGTGTGGGAGGAAAGATGCAGCAGAGTGGATGAAGGAGGGAGGTTTAGGGAGATCAAATAGAGGAAAGAAAAAAGAGGGGAGGAGGGGAGGAGAAGCAGGTGGGCGGAGGGATGACTCACTGCTGCTGCTCAGCCCGAGACGAAGACAGAACTTTAAACATGCTGGGAGGGAAAACGGGAGGGGATACGATGATTAGTAGCAACAAGACATTTGTGAGGTTTCTGACGGGTACATACTGTACATCATCAGGGCCGTGATACCCAGGGTGAAGCAGCACAGGAAACAGGAAGCTGAATCATTTCCACAACTCTGGCCATTCACTAAAAGAACCAACCTTTGAAATAAGGTATCTGGCTAAAAATGTATTATCCTTTCATCAAACAAGGAATAAGGATGCCTGCTTTAAAAAGATTTTAAGAAAATCAATCAAATATCTTTTTGGAATGTCATCGATATGGTTGGGAAGGTTACTATGTTACATCTTCATTACCTTTGACCACTTTCTTAACAAATAATGAAACCATAAGAGCAACCCCTGTAAAACACAAGACTACAGTGATATGGATTTTGATTATGATAAGGAGTACAGGTGATGGATGAAAGACAATTCAGAGTGATATTGGTTCAGTTTACTGTGAATGTAAAAATAAAGGAACCCCATAATATTTTCAAATTAGGGCTATCAGTGATGAAATGCCTAATTGTTCATTATGCATGTTAATTAATAACATATTACCCATTTACAATAAACCTTAAATAAAGAAATCAATATATAATATTCATGTCAACATTGAATTGGACATATATGCTAAAAGAGAAAGATAACTTTTCTTTCTAACAACCATATTTCAAGATGGCATTTGAACACATAAGAACCACATTGTGATTGACCTTTACCCAATTTTAAACTGTTTGATCTTGATCACACCATAATGTTACTTAATGTCACCTTGCTGCCGTCTGTTGACATTAGCTGTAGCTGTTAGCCAAGCAGTAGTGTAGCATTACGACTCCATTATTATGTGTCATCGGCTAGTTAACTGCTAGCAGCTAACGTGAATTAGCTCTCCTCCTGCCAATAACAACACAGATGTGTTGTTTATGATGTAGCATTATCAGGTATTCTTTCCCAGTATTGCTTCCCAACCGTGTTCATGAAGAACTGACTGATATGATAAATAATGTCTATATTATAATAATCCGTAGTTTATACAGTATCACAAATATTATATACACAATCGGAGTTAAACTGTATATGCATAGAGATTTACACTTTAACTGTATAGAAAGTATTCTTCCCCCTCATGCTGCAACAAAAACGTAATCCCGTACCATGAGGTGTATATATTATAGTATGTTTTAGGTGTTTTAGCTATTACATTTTATAAGCTGTTTGTATTTTAAGAGAGAAGCTTTGGGAGTGAATGTTTAAATGTTGATGGATGAAACTGAGAGACTTTTTAAAGTGCCGATTGAGGTTGGAAATGTTCTGCGGTCGCGTCAGCAGGATTCTGCAAAGTTAGCATTGACTGAACAAGAGGCTGTCCGTGATCATCCTGGTTACAATCAAAATGGCTGCCTTGGAGATGCTGTTGCCATGGAAGTGATTTCTTAGGTATGTACATATTGGTATTTGAAACCAGAACTCTTAAAGCCAGGTTCAGAAATGGAAACCGACTCTTCCTCAATTCAATTCAATTCAATTCAAAACCTTTATTTATACAGATAAAACCCATTGAGATCATAGACCTCTTTTACAATGGTGACCTGCTTCAATTAGTTCCAAACATTAATACAAACATGACAGAAAACAAAGGACATTATATGATACTACAGTTTGTATACTAGTAGCATTTACAGACACCAATATTTTCTGATTGTATAGCGTCTATCCTAGCTTTAAAAACATGAAATGGAATCAAACTGCTTAGCTTCCATTCCTTTTTCCTGGTTTTATTTATGATAATATAAGGTTTATATTAAGAACTAGATACTACAGATATGGCACTTTGATGAACACATGCGTACATGGGAGGCAAACTGAAAACCTGAGACAGATGGCTTTGCATTTCAATGTACCTCCTGGTTTAATCTATTATTCATATAAGTAGCTCAGTCTCAATTTATTGGAGTCTACATCTTTTCACTAATATCTGTTGGGTCCAGACAATTCCTTATCAAGTGTATTTCAGAGATGAAGGTTTCATCTGTCTTGTGATAGAGGACAGACTATTGTACCATTTGATTGGAAATACCTGGGAATTGTCTCAGCCACTGTAAACTACCCAACATCTTAGCCAAATTGATATTCCAAAAAGCCCCAGGTAAAATAATACTTCGCCTTTTTTTTCATCGGCTTTCAATAACCCATATTTAAGTTTTATGCTATGGCATGTCATCATTAAAAATTGAAGGGAGGAGGTTGGAAATATCAAAATCCAGTTTTTGACAGATTGTGACAGAATGATTTACTTAACTGAATACTGAATTACTACTGTTTCAACTCAAGATCCACTTGCTTGCCTGTTCTGAAGTTTTGACCCAATCTCAAGGCCCTCATCAGCAAATCAATATGAAATTTGCATATGTTGAGTGGAATTTTTTTGGGGACATTCAGGATTTTCAGTTTGACTCCCATTGAAGTTCTCATGGTGCACAGTGAATTAAAGTGAAACACTTAAGAAGTTCTTGTTTTTGTAGCATATTAACAATCGTGCCCAACATAGGGCATTATTTGTAGCCATTTTTAGACCTACACTGGAAAATGTTATGCTTACATCCTGTGGTACTGTTAAGAGAAGAACAATGTATCAAATGAATTGCTGTGTTAGCATCTGTTATGAATATTTGCTTTGTGGAAAATAAATAGGAACTAATTTAGCCGCTGAGTATGAGAGCTTTTGCTGATGTTTTGCGATGTTTCCTTTTAATTGCCAAAAGCTGAGCATTCATGCTGTGTAGTGAGCACACACACACACACATATATTTATGTAGCTGACTTCTGAGGAGTTGTTTTCTGAGACATAAACATCAGAACCAACAGTGTTTCTGAGGACATCACAGCAGAGACGTACAGTTTTGATGCTGTGAGCCGATTTCTCAAATGTTTACTTCCTTTACTTCCAGATCCCTAACTTTGATCATGGTGTAAATATTCATACTGAACACACATTACACAGTCTACCTAAGACATGTTGACATTATCAAGGTAAAGAAATGTTTAAAGTTTACATGTTGAGTCCAATGACATTTGACTGACTCAATACTGGTCAAAAACTGACCTTAAGATTAATGTGACTTTAATTGTTTATTTTTCATAATGTTTGCAAACATGCTATATGCAGGAGTGTGATTTTTATCTGCCAGCAGTGTTTTGTTAAGTTGAAACCAATAAAGCTTGCCTGGTTCCAGACTCATATGTATTGTTTATTATAGTTCATTTAACACACTTGAGAAATATGCATGTTACAGCCGCTGGTACCTTGTGAGCTTAAGTCTGTTTGTGTATGTAAATGAGCTGTGCAGTTCCTCTGCTGTCATTGGCCGTCCGGACCGCTCAACATCCGCGGGGATTGGACAGACGTCGCCCAACCCCTGCTCGCTTCTGCCACGTCATCCGGGGGAGGAGTATAAAGGCTGAGCACGGACAACAGTCGGGAGGCTCTGTATTTTGTGTCAGATGCCTCAACCCTATCCTTGTGATAAGCCTTCATTCTGTGAATTCTGAGATTTAGCGTGTGTCTTTTGTATTAGCTCCACCTCGAGTTTAAAGGGCTTCGCAAGATCGGGAGCAGCGAGCACAGGAGCGTGACTCAAAAGTGTCTTTACACACTCAAATGCATGCTGGCACTCAGGGGTCCAAACATATTCCACCTTGGGACTTATCAACCTAGTTAGGGGTTGAGCTACAGTGGAGAAGTTACGGCAGAAACTGCGGTAGTAGCCTGCCATACCGAGGAAACGGCGGAGATCACTCCTGGTGCCGGGCACCGCACATTCAGCCACCGCAGTAACCTTAGCCTCCACTGGTCTAACTTGGCCTTGCCCAACCTGCTTTCCTAAATAGGTGACCGTAGCTTTACCAAACTCACATTTGGCCAGATTCAAAGTAAGAGACGCCTGTGCGAGCCGGGTGAATACCTGCCCCAGAATCTTCATGTGCATCTCCCATGTGGGCGTGTACACAATGAAATCATCCACCAACTGGGTTACGTCATTCTGCTGGCTCTCCTGCAGATGACCTAACATGGTTGGTGGATGACCAGGAGTGATCTCCGCCGTTTCCTCGGTATGGCAGGCTACTACCGCAGTTTCTGCCGTAACTTCTCCACTGTAGCTCAACCCCTAACTAGGTTGATAAGTCCCAAGGTGGAATATGTTTGGACCCCTCAGTGCCAGCATGCATTTGAGTGTGTAAAGACACTTTTGAGTCACGCTCCTGTGCCCGCTGCTCCCGATCTTGCGAAGCCCTTTAAACTCGAGGTGGAACTAATACAAAAGACACACGCTAAATCTCAGAATTCACAGAATGAAGGCTTATCACAAGGATAGGGTTGAGGCATCTGGCACAAAATACAGAGCCTCCCGACTGTTGTCCGTGCTCAGCCTTTATACTCCTCCCCCGGATGACGTGGCAGAAGCGAGCAGGGGTTGGGCGACGTCTGTCCAATCCCCGCGGATGTTGAGCGGTCCGGACGGCCAATGACAGCAGAGGAACTGCACAGCTCATTTACATACACAAACAGACTTAAGCTCACAAGGTAGCAGCGGCTGTAACACCCCCCCCCCCCCCTTAAAACACAAACCCCACAGGGTTTTTGTGAACCATAATACATCACACACCATGACCACAGAACACATCACTCCAGTCTGGACAGAGCATCTGCGAACACGTTCTCTGAGCCTTTCTTGTGTCGGATTTGCAGGTTGTAGTCCTGAACGATCAGAGCCCACCGCATGAGACGCTGATTGTGGTTGTACATGCGGGACACAAAGACAATGGGGTTATGATCGGTAAACACTGCAACCGGCAAAGAACCAGACCCGATATAAACCTCAAAGTGCTGGAGAGCTAACAACAAAGCAAGGGTCTCCTTTTCAATGGTAGGCCAGCGTTCCTGTGAGTGGATATTGCGTAGAGCCAGGTGATTAGCACCTGTAGACCCGCACCAGCTGTGTGTTTCCACAGTCCCGTTTTGTTTATTGTTTGTTTCCACTTTAGTAGTGAGATTTGTTTTTCTTTGTGTAGCGGTGCAACTCCCTTTTGGAGACCCTTTGTGTTGTGTTATAGTCAGGGCTGCACATAACTGGTGCGCAGGTGCGCATGCGCACCTCCGCCAAAAAAAGAGCACCGGGTCATTTGAAACAAAGCGCATTTGCGTACCAACATTGAGAGGGAGAGAGAAAAGAGAAAATAGAGGAGAGATGAGAGAGAGAGAAGAGAGAGAGAGAAAGATATTTGCGAGTTGCATATGAACCATGATATGAACTCAGGGCCGGCCCGTAGCACTGGCTAGATGTTCGCCTAGGGCGCCAGATCTGGGGAGGTGCTGCGCTGGCAGTTCTGGGAGGGAAAAAAACATTTTGACCGTTGGGGCTCATCCTAATTTTCGGCCTTGATGTAACAATATTCATAATTAAGTAAATGTAACACCCTTTTCACCCCGGTTACACGTTTCATTTGCCCTGTACGATGGGCGCTGTAAGTGATGAAAATGGGGGATGTTGGCTTATCTGGCGCCCGCAGCTCACAGACAAAATGCGAGTGAGAGAGGGAGGGTGCACCGGTACCAGCGCTGTTGTTATTATAATCTGGTGCCGTGCTAGCTGCTCTAACGGAGATAAGAAGAAGATGTTTCTACAATAATGTGGAGGGAGAGTCCTCTCCAGTCAGACTGAGAGGCTGATAAGTTAACTACAGCTCAGTGAGGTAAAGGACTCTTAGTCTAAATTCAAACGGTTTGGTCACAATTTATGTAAACACATATTTCCAAGGCACTCCTTTGTAATTATTGGGATAAACAGGTTTTAAATCATTCCAATGTATACTATAGGACAGTAACCAAAATTATCCTTTAAAACTGGAGAGATAAACAAAAAATGCATAAATAAATAAATGTTAAGGTAAAATAAGATATGAATGAACAACACAAATAAAATAAGTTACATTAATTTGTTATTGGCTATGGTAGGCTATTGGTTATGTTCACATACTTATTTGATTACATCCACTTGTCTGAGATGACAACAGAGACTTTCGACCCAAAACCAGCTGTTGACTTGTGGATGCAAGCAGCTAATCGCAGACTCAACCAGAGAGAAAGTAGTAGGCCTACATCATCAGCTACCATGTCTGACAGTCAGGAGGGTAGTGATGCTTGTAGGATTACTGGTCGTGCTAATGTTGTCTTGTGTTCACCTCTGCACGTGTGTTCTGTGTTCACCTCTGCATGTGTGTTCAGTGCCGTGTGTCTGGCAAATAAAGTCAAGACCCCCTCGAAAGTTAGGGTTTATTTCATTTTAAGGATGAGCACCAAGAAACATCTCCAGGTGCTCCTTTGAGAACCAGGGCAAAAAAGTTATGTGCACCCCTAGTTATAGTGACAGATTGACCCGTGTTGTGGGGCCAATCTGTGTGACCATCATTTTTACTTAGTTTCAGTGACAATAAAACCACCGGTAACAAATATACCAAATCCAATCTGGTCGTGTCGTTTCCCGTTTGTAACCTAGCCAAGTGGGAACGTAACAATGCATTTGTTACAAGTGCTGAATTCTGTTCTATGTGAAATAGCAGCGTTTAGTGGTAATTCAAAATGTTTATCTGAATTCATCTTGGAGAAAGCAACAGAGAAAAAAAACATTACATTTCTAGTTTAATTTCATATTTCCTCCAAGTGATTTATTTGTATTTTAAAGAATTTTGCATACTTTCTTTGACAAGTTTTACAAAATTGATTGTGGGGGACATACAGTACTTTGTATCTGTTTAATTGTCTTTAATTAGGACTCATTTGATTAACATTGGTGATTTAAATTCATTTCTTGGTTAAGAGACCACTTAGATAAATGTATCAGTGTCACAGTATATTATTAATGAATATTAAGTGATACTGAATCATTATTGTTCATTTTATATGACAAAAAAAACCAATAGCACTCATAGCCATAGGCCCTTTCACATTTCACTAATTCCCCTCCTTGACTCCTATCCTCGTGTCTTTGTCCCGCCCACAGGAGATGCGAGCGGAGGAGTCGAGGAGGGAAACCGAGGAGAGAGGAGGGGAAGCAGCAGGCGGTTAGAGAAATGAGAAATCCTCTCCTCTGAGCGGTCATTTTAAAGAGACGTCCATCAATGATGACAGGAGGCACAGCCCTCTGTCTGATGGGCAGAACTGTGTTCATGATGACTTATATATTTACTTTTAATTCATTCACAGTGCGGTATAATGAGACAATATACGCACATATAAAATATATACATATTTGGCTGTGCCCGGCGGTGGTCCAACAGTTCCCCCAAGGGCCCCAACCGATAGGGGACTCTATGGCGCTATTGAGACCCCCGACGCGCACAGCCAAATCCAGCCTCTCCTCCTGGCTGGCTGGAGAAGAAGGTTGCACAGCCACGGCCACGGATACAGCGTCACTTGTGGAGCTAGATAGCAATGATGGTGGTGAGGCAGGTGAGCTATCATTAGCCTCCGGCTCCCGTTGCACGTCAACATTGCTAACGTTAGCGCTCGATTTCGAGGACGATGTATGACAAAGAAAACTGTCTAATTTCGTCAGTTTAGCTGTTACATCTCCTTGTTCTCTCTTGTCCTTTCTCTTTTGAGCACCGCTCTTGTGCTTTGGTTTGCTGTACATTATATATACAGAGATGGGGTCGTTACTAAAAAAAAGTAATATATTACATATTACATAGCCTATTACTTTAAAAAAAAAAGTAATATATTACACTACTTCGTTACTCTCTACATAAAGTAACTCGTTACTTTACTCATTACTTTACTTGCAGGGCCGGCCCGCCCCTCCCTACAGGCAGATCAAGCAGACTGCTAAAGTTTCAATTGTTCTCTTTATAGTGGGGCAGATAACAGCAATGTTTCAGAAGAATCGTGCAAATGATGATACAAACATCAAATTTGGCACACTTGTTCTCCAAGTGGTACTAATCAAATCTGCCTGATTGGCCAATTGAAAATCCAAGATGGCGGCCATTTTCCAAGATGGCCGCCAGATTAGCCACCCGAAAACCGTAATAAATCGGCACATAAAGGGTTAATCACATTTTAAAGGTCATAAATGGATGCGATAATTTAATACCTTTAATTTGATACCTATTTTATGGGTCTACGACCACAGGAAATACTTTAACCCATTGGGAACCATTGTCGACTTTTGTCACCATGAG